GAAACCAACACTATATATATACATATATATATATATATGTGTGTGTGTGTGTGTGTGTGTGTAAGGGTTCAAACAAGAACACCTTATTTTTACGATAACACGAGAACACCCTTTTTATATAGTCAATTACATGTGTTACTATAGTCCATCACATACGATACACATGTAATACTAAATTGGAGACACGGATGACTTTTAGTGTGACCTAGGTTGCTGGCCAAGTTGCTCACACACCACCATATGATACTATAATCAATCACATGTGATATTAAATCAACGATGTATATCACCTTTGGAGTGACCTAAGTCACGGGCCAAATCGTCTGCAACCACTAGGTCCATCACGTGAATTATCACATATGGTATGGGGCAAGTTCAAACAAAAAACTATATATTTTGCGAGAACCAAAAAGTTTGAATATCATATATGATTATATGAATGATACACAAACTTAATCATATATGATTAACCACATGTTACATTGACAATACATAGACGTTTAACCATATATGATTAAACACATTCAAATGAATGTAATCATATATGAAATTGGAACTTCTCACATTCTCATAAAATATTTAACTTCTCGCATGATTCTTCTACTTTGTGTATATACCATACCATTTGGTTTTTTTTTTTAATAAAATATTTTTGATACTTGTTTTCATAAATACAAACAATCATTTTCATTGTTTCTATATCAAGTTTTTGTGCCTAAAAGTTACCTTTAGAATTTTTATGGGACATGAAATATTGTGATAAGAATCGTGTTTTCACTTGATATCAAAACCCTTTAATAATAATGTTTTGTAGACCTAAAATGAATCCATAAATTTACTTTTACGTGCTCTGTTCTCTAATCTCGAGAGAAAATAAAAATAAAAAAAAATTCTTTTGTGTTCTCGTACGAAAGAAAAAAAGAAAATAATTTTTCATATTCTTTAAAAATAGAGAAAAGAAAGGAAATATATCATTTTTACAAATATATATTTTAAAAATGCATCTTTTATATTGAAAAGTTGGGTACTTTTATCTTTATTTTTTTTAATTCCTTTTTCTCTCACATTTAGAAGGAAAGTTTTGAAATGAAACTTATCATTATTTTCCTTTTCTTCCTACTTTTTTTTTCCAAAAACACGAGTTTTCTCCCCGTTTACTCTTATTCATTTATAAAAATGGTTTTGAGAACACGACATAGTAATAAAGTTACAAAAAAGATGTAATAATTATTGAACCATCATTAGTTCGTATTACTTTAACAAAAAAAAAAGTTCAGTTACATATTTATATTCTTGTAAAATTGCTTTTAGTAAGACGGTTCCATCATTTGCTTGTATTATTTTGACAAAGAAATTATCAGTTACATACTTATATTCTCGTAATTATGTAATATATATTAGTTTCATCCAGTTTTTATCATTTAAGATAACATAAAAATATTTAAAAAAAAATATAAATTGATTATATCAACCTTATTACTAAATCTAAATATTAAATTGATTATAATAA